CTACTACTACTACTACTACTACTACTTCTACTACTACTACTACTACTACTACCGATACCTACCAATTCTTCTTCAACATTAGCAAGTCTGTTAAATAAAAGAAGTTGTGAATATCAAACTATTCATCCCAGTTTTATTTTCCTATTAGTCAGTTGCTCTCTCACCGTTGGAGGGCATTCATTAAATCATTGAAACTCATTTTTAAACTCCTGATATTCCGAAAGTTTTCGTTTTCTAAAACAGAGAGAGCATTATAATTTCGTATCTTGGAAACGTTACCACACAGATAAAAGCAGAATTGCTTAATGTTACGATTTCATAGCTATTGAAGTATCGTGTTCGAAAAAATAACGAATTTGTTTTTCAAACCTTTCTTCATAGAAATGGGTATAAGAGACAACTGACAACGAAAACTCTCTAACCTCCAGGCGGCCTTGTAATTCTATAAGGGTAAAACGAGTATGTTGCTTATTCTTTCAACGTCCATGTTTTATTCTTTTTTGTCCAACACAACTGTAACAATTGGTTTTGGGCATAAGCCCTTTAATGCAAACGCTAGAGCAAATCTAATGCCTTCGCCATACATACGATAGATATAAGCTCAGAGTAGCATAGGTCCCGTAGTATTGTGGGTTTAAAGATGACCCAAGTTAATCTAGATTGTTTATAAGTCAGGACCGTTTCCCAATCCATTGGTATAATGCTGCTATAAATGAATCGCATTAATTGAAACCATGCAGGCACCTACCATATCTACAGGTGAAGATGTTCGTGAAACAGGAATCCGCCTGCTTCCAGGCTTCTGCGTTTTCCGAAAAAAGAACGCCAGCTTTTTCTCCAAGGCTTGTGTCCCGGCCAATAATAAGTTCGCGATCTGCGCTTGTGGATACAGTGTAGGGTACAGGTGCATCTAACTGGACAGGTTCCACGACGTCGTGTGTTCGCCGGCGCATTGTTTTGACAATCTGTAGGTCTGTTTTAGGGGAAGCAGCTAATCGCGCCGAGTCCGTAAAATCTCCTTCTGCATTCGGAAGACTCCATATAAGCGCTTCTATGTTTCACACAGAGATGCAAGATTCAGGTTTATAAAATGAAACGCATATAGCTGAGAGTAAAATATATATAAAGTTATTTGTTTTTCAAAGGTGTTGCGAAGGATGTCGCGTCATTTTTTCGAATATGTAAACCTTCAGATAGTTGAGCAGTCAAGGTGTTTTTACTCCTTTCCTGTCGATGCTATGGTGCATAAAGGTTTCAGCAGCAGGAGATTCCTGCGAATATTGTACGCATCATACTACTTATTCTAGATGTGTCTTATTTCACCTTTCCTTTAGCCACCAGGTGTCCTTGCAATTAGTAATACCTAACTGTTGCTTTTGTAGTTTTCTATCAAGAAAGCACTTATGTTTTGCATTTCTGGCTTAAGTAATTCCTGGACCGAAATATGACATATAGAAATTTTTTAAACAACCAGTGGAAACTATACAGCAGAGTCATATGTGCAACCTTAGTTTATTTCTACAGTTCAGTCTCCCAAAAGTCGCATAGCTGGTATATTAAGTAAGCTTTTGAGGCAGGAAACAAAAGTTGCTATGTCTAATCACTGAAGCATTAGAGTAAAACTAAAATAGAGGTTCACAACATTTGGAGAAACAGGGCAAGCCCTGCATTCTTAAGCAAACAAAAAGCAACATACATCAATCAACTATTTTAAGGAGCCAGTTAGGGAGGAAGTATTACCAAAAACATAAAGGAGACTGGTATGGTCACTCTTAGCTTATTAGTCATCGTTAGTCAGTCATACTCAACCCCAAGTGTTGCCCCATTCGAAACTCAAACTCGCGACTCTTTGATCAGCGTCTAACGCCCTAAAGACCTAACCATGGTCTTGCCGCTTTAGGTCGGGAGATACTAACACTCGTTGATGAAAGTTCACCGACCGCTAATGGAACTTACTTGTCCCCCTCTGCCTTGGGTCGTTGAAACTTCATCAAAGAGTCTCAGTATCTCCCAACCTAAACCGCTAACACAATGAGCTCGTGCCTCAATGCTTAGACCGTTAGACTCCGATCGAAAATGTCGCGAGTTCGAGCCTCGAGCGATGCACCATTTGGGGTTGAGTATGACTGGCTGACGACAGTTAATAAGCCAAAAAGGTCCACACCAGTCTCCTTTGTCTTTGACGGTAATACTATCTGCCTATATTAATGGCCGCTACGGCTGCTCTCAGGGTCCGAGAATTTAGCGTCATGGCAGAGTGGTAGAAGCGAGTTCCGTTAGCAGTCTGCGAACCTTCATCAACGCGTGGTAACAACTTGAAAAATGCACTACAGTAGGTCAGAAATTAATAAGGGACTGACGAAAGTCGTTGTTTTTCCAGTTATGACTTGGAATCTCAGTCGACTCTTGTTCGCTGTTTCAAAATGTAAAATTTGCTTAATGACGAGGATGTACGCTTGACATCAATAACAGCTACTTCAGGGTAGTACAATGTGCAAATTGGAAAAGTAGATTCCACAGGCTAGTTGAAGGTACCAAGAATTTATC